GAATGTCATCAGATGACTAGAGGGCTGGGTAGGAAAGAGAGGTCCCGGAGCAGGACACAGGACTTCCCGTGGGGACGCATCTCACTCACACCCTAGCTTGAGGTGAYGGAGTCACTGGCTCACCCAACCCCAACTCACTTCCTTCCTCCCGCTCTCTGATCCCTCCTCCAGCTGCAGGCAGGGCGTCAGAGGCCCACTGGCCGTTTTCCGTCTCTCCCAGGATGGACTCCAGGTCTACCTCCTCCAGGGTGCTCCCCTCAGAAGACAGCAGTTTATCCAAGCCAAATTTCAGTATGTCACTCAACTTGAATGAAGAAAATGAGAGATCCAGTTAGTTCTCATGAAAACACAGATGAGGATGTGTGACTTGCTAAGTGTCTAAATGACACCAGGTCATTCTTTCCCTGATGGACTTTCTTCTCTTCCATCACAAATGACACCTGCCAGGCTGTTTTGGAGTTGGATGAGGAATAAGCAGAGAGGTGATAAATGATGATCAGAGMTGTTGACTTTGACAATTATTTACAATACCAAAAAAATTTTTTGGCCTCCAATTTTTTTAAGGAGTGGGGGCAGATAAAATGATTCCCAGCATCTTCTATAGCACTTCTCACCAGCATGTTTTACAGGCACTTCCAGCAGTCCTGAGAGAAGTCAGAGACACTGTTGGCTACCTTCTTACCTCTCCCACTGCCAAACTCTTATAAAGAAAAGGTGCCACTGAATACCTCATCTCACCATGAGCTGCCACCTGTCCTTGCCAAGCCGCTTTGCTACTACAGTGCTTTATGGGACCCACTTTGGCAAAACCATAACCACCCTGATCACCAGACCCAAAAGCCCTTTCTCAAYTTCAATCTCCCTGGATAGTCCTGCGGCACTCCCCATCCTGTCCTCTTGCTCCCCCTAGGAGATATACTCAGCCTACTTCCTACGGCTACAGGAACCAGAATTTTAGATAGTGTTACCTGGCATTCATTTGCTACTTGCAACTCTCCACCTCCCTAAGTACTATCTCTTAGGAATTCTGAACCAATTGGGATCCACATCATGGGACTTCATTTTCATTTTGCCCTTTTAGATTTGGTTAGTTATCTCTA